TTTCATTTGGTACTCTTGAAGAGAACCCATGAGGAGAGACAATTGTTTTTCGCCTGAAAAGAGGGGCTTCAATCTGTCGCACTTGTACGTATTACCAAAAGAAATTGCCGATACTCTAATTTTTTATAGACAGGTTTAGTTTGGAGTATTTGTATAACATTGGCAGAACAACGTAAACCATTGTACTTAATCTGTCGCATTTGTGCGTATTCCCAAAAAAAATTGCCGATACTCTTGTTTTTCATAGACAGGTTTAGTTTAGAGTATTTTTATAACATTGACAGAACAACGTGAACCACTGTACTTTTGAATAACCGTTTCCCGAACCTGTTTATCGGCTGTCATGTTCAAGTTTGTCTGGTCATGCCCGCCACGCTGGTCTAGCCGCTAAAGTACTCGGCTCTTGACCCGTAGGTAACGGAATCGAATCCTGGTTGCGGCGGCTGCATTTCCGAGGGAGGCGGAAATGATGTAGATCCGTGTTCTCAGATTTGGGTGCACGTTAAAAAACCTCAGGTGGTCGAAATATCCGGAGCCCTCCAATATGGCGTCTCTCATAAGCATATGGTGGTTTTGGGACGTTAAACTTCACATATCAATCAATCAATTATTTGCCTGGTCATGGCGCGTTATTACTGTACGTAGATTGTAAATGTCTCCTGCAGCGAAATCATTTTTTCTTCAAACTGCACGCTTTCATTCTACTAGTGAAAACGTGACACAAGGAAAAATCAATATATGTGCCACGAACAGCAAATTGTAGACTCTGGAACCAACCTGAGAAGATAGAGCTTTGTTTCGTTCATTGTTGTGACGCATTGTATTTAGGGGACATTGTAAAAACAACAATCATAATTTACCTTGCAATCACAGCTCACAGCATCCCATTCCTCCCTTGCAAAAAAAGCCCGACTGATACTACTCCATATGACCAGTTTATGTTGTTGAGACTGTATTTACTATGGAAAAGTCGCATCACCGATATACACGCTGAGCCCCATGAATGACAAGATCTGTCTTCCCAGACGCGGCTGCTCAAGTGCGTGTGTTGTCGAGACTTTCGACACCGTTCTGGAGTGGCTTCCCTTTCTGAACGCATGTGTGTGTTGCCTGACTTCTGATGAGTGATTGTGTACGTAATTCACAATCGCTGCTGTTGATTCTATGCATTATTGAAAAAGAAATCCGTGGCATGGCTCAGTAGTAGAATACTGGGCTGGCATGCAGGGGACTTGAGTTGGAATGTCATTGTGTTGTTGGTGTTTTAGATGCGACGCAGCTCTTCGACTCACGTGTGTAGCGCCATACGTACATGCGCCTGTACGAACGCGCCGCAACGCGTTCACCTCGCCACAGGTGTTGTAGCGGTGCCAAGAAGGTCCACCAAAAGTGCACGTTGACGTGACACTCCTCTCGCACACTTTCCTCACAAGTTGACGCTGACGTTCTTCTACCTCAACCACATCACACTGGCTGTAGCTGCCGGCTCCTCAGCCCGCTCACTTCTCTCTCGCTTCACCTTGTCCACCACCCACAATGCTCGACCCCAAGTCGAGTGGGAACACCCTTTAAGATCGTTTATATCCGATAAAACTTACTCAAACACCACGCCTCTCGTGTCTTTGTGTTTTAAACAAGCATTTACTCGAGTAAACGCTACACCGAGTTTTGTTTCAAACAGTTTTTTCAGCAACCGAGCCGATGCCCATTTCAACCATGTCAACGCCATGCGCACCACTGCTGCTTCGCATCCCACCGGGTTTACCTTCGGAGAGATGGTCCGTAGTTTTTTTTTTTAATTCCCGAGTTTTTTTTTTTTCTCATGGCATGTGATAGTGATTACCGACACTGGCGGCGGTCGCAGTGGACAACTACAGCGGCACACGCGACCTTTGCTGTGATCTCATTACAGCTTTTGCTGTCAGACATGTGAGTGAACGCATTCCGTTCTATATTTTATTCGCGGGAAATAATTTCCGTAGACACAAATATCTGCATTGTTGTTGCGCAAAAGTGCAGGCCTCAGTTAGTCGACCGAGATCCGTTTCGCGATGTGGGAAGTCATCTTGTTGCGGTGTGTGCCGAATGACAGCGCACGGCATGCTTTTCGCTGTTCTGATCAGGACGCTTCTGGTCGCCGGTCCGTTGCAGACGGGCTTTACCGGACAGGAAACTTTCATATATTCTACTTCTGCCCCCACTCGCTGTTTTGCAAAATAACAAGAAGCAGATATTGAGTGTTTGCTGCCAGCTCGGCTTACAATGTGCAAATTGGGAGGAGTTGATATACACACACAAAAAAAAAAGACGCCAGAGAACTCGAGAACAATAAGTCCCATGGTTCTTGTCTTTGCCAACGTCCACTACGTGGCGATGTGGCGCTACAACTATCACTTTTATCGTTTACGTTAGTGAAAATACTAACTGTAAAGAAAATTATCAATGGAGGCATTGCTTCACACGCTTCAGCAAGCAAGTTTGCAAACATTCGTGGTATAGGCGAAGACTTTGTTATAGGCATATTTGCACTGGTAGCCCTTGCTGGACCACAAGTTTCATTTTATTTCGAGGACTGCTGGCCGCACCGTGTAAGTACCAACTAAGTAGACTTCATACCTCACTGATGTCACGTAAAACGATGGTTTCTTATGGGAAAATCCTTTTTCTAACTAAATATCTCAAGCTAGGGAAACAACTTACGTTTGTCACAAGAGCGAAACGCTGGAATTGCAACGATTCATGTATGTTAAACCAAGTAAGGCTAGGAGCTCACTCCTTGATGGCCTGTCTGGGCGGGACTGAATGAAAACGCTAACACAAAACAAAACGATGCATTCGCTATTAAAGCTACTTTTGTGCTGTGCTTGTTTCCAGGCATTATTACACGATAACAGGACACATAAAATAGTGCACGTGCTGATTTGCAATATATAATAACCATAAGTTACTACGCCCGGCTTGAGCATTGTATCATCTTCTAAAGCCATCATAAATAGGGAGTGCTTGCGTGCATGTCGTTGCACATCTCGCATACGACACGCGAGGAGATTTATCACAATGGTCGACGGTGATGCAGATATGATCCACCATTTCCAATCTCGACGTCTTTGACGCGGTGGTATCGTCAATACGATGGCTATCACTGAAGTGATTCGCACCGCTGACAATGACGGTGACGCGAGGATTGCTCCTGGAATGTCCATAAATTTGCCACCGTTTTCAGACATCACTGCTAAAATTCATAGAACAGCAGTTAGCCTCTCTTTGAAGGAATCATTTGCTAAGTTGTTTTAAAATGATAAAAGTACATAACTGAACGTTGCCAAAATATGAGTAAAAGTTGCCAGATAACGTCGCTGGCAATAATTGGAAAGTAATATTCAAAATTTTTCATAATTCGGAAGCAAAAATGAAAGAGTTGTTGCTTTAGAACGATTTATTTTGATTAAGCTATACTACAACACTGCCCATTATAATGAATCATTTTTATGACACTTCGAAGGAGAGAGGCAAAATTTTTACAAGGCTGCCATGGAGCAATCATGCACAGTCTCGTGCTACCATTGTCGAATCTTTCGGGCATTACAAGGTCTCGTAAAAAAGCCGTGCTAGCTGAAGCACACATCGACGTCTTCACATGTCAGCAATTACCTGATAGCGTAACCTGATGATTACGCCAGAAGTTTACACTTATTGATAATTTATTGTGATGATATCATAAACACCTGACCTCTTCGATCTTGATAATTTATTTGATGATATTATAAACACCTGACCTCTTCGATCAGTCAAACTGGACCAATCTTAGAAGCAGTGCTACATCAGGTTCTGATAGCTTGAGATAAGAGCGCAGGAACATTGGAATGGGCAAATAACGTCACACTGTCTTATTTTGCGTCTCTCACACCATAGCTCATTAAGTCTGACAAGGGGATATAGTGGCGACATAACATTATGCTAGAATACTTTACACTAGAGCCCCGTTTCATTAGGTTTTGGTTAACGTTAATGAACTTCTGGTGAGCGAAATTTCTAAAGCCATGCATTACGGCCTCTCTCAACATAGTATCGAAGTTTCGGGATGCTAGATGTCACCAATAATAATTATATTAGTAATATTGCTACTTTTATACGTGTATCAAATTATATTATTATTATTATTATTATTATTATTATATTATTATTATTATTATTATTATTATTATTATTATTATTATATATTATTATTATTATTATTATTATTATTATTATTATTATTATTATTATATTATTATTATTGAAATAAAGTAAAGTCCGCTACAGTGTTTGTACATTTCAAAGAATGCTTGAGATCTTCGCTATAATATTGCAAATTGTGTAAAATTCGTGCATTTTGTTATTGATATGCTCGGCTGGTCATAACAGTGTGAGGTCAATTACTAATTGCTTAAAGTGCGTCGAATAGAGAGGGAAGCCCCTTAAGACTAATGTTTGTATGCTGTAGCGCTTGGTGAAACTTGGTAGATTAGAATTCCTCATTCATCGCCTGCTTTAAAAAAGCAGACCAACGTTGCAACCATATCTCTTCGTCTATTCTAAAGCAGTAGAAACATACCACAGAACATTTCTATAGCAAGCAGTTCCCTGTGATAAAAATGGCCCAAAATTTGCGCTTAAAATATTGACTACAACTCATTGAACAAACATGCCGAGAAAGATGGCACGTTACACCGGCTGTCACATTGAAACTACAGTAGGAGACTTTTAATACCCTAAAATATTTGTTGTAGACGAAGAAGTCGTAAGAAGAATAACAGTAAATGTGTTCAAAGTTCGTTCGTAGCACAGGGTGATTTATTAACAGCTCACTAACGCTCGCGTTGATTGGTTAGGACCATAACCTATTAGATCTTGGTTTATCTCCAAATTAATATTTACAAACAAGTGCTACAGCTAATGCTCAAAAGCATAGAGTTAAAACATAGACTTGGTGACTCATAAATGTAAGGAGCTTACCTGGAGGAGACACTCTCATTGCATCATACGTAGCGTTAGTAAAAAGGCTGATAGTTATGAAAATCCCCTGCAAAGTTGTATTGACCCTACAATTGTTGGTATATTGTCAGTGTATAGGAATGAATTTCTTATAATAGACAGTAATGTTTTACCATTCATGGCCTAAGCAATATTCTCTCTTAAAGAAAACCGAAGTATTGGTTGCATTATTCACGTAATCAACTTTGCAGGTTATTTTCCTTCGTGTTGTCAGCAAAGTCCAGATAGTGGTATTTGGTGTGTAGAACTGCGAAAAGGAAAAAAAAACGTAATCTATGACAACAAAAAAAGACAGCAACATTCAGCGTTAGAGAAAAAAGTCTGAAACTTGTAAAACGTGCAGGGACAATTTTATGCCATTATGCATACTCATTTTCCAATTGATGCACTATCGAAAATTATTGCGCGACACGCTTGTTTCATAGCATGACAAAGCGTCGTAACGGCACATGGTGTAAAACTGCTGAATATTTCGTCGAATGATCAGATAAAGTGACACGATTTGCAAGCTGTGATAGTTAAACTAAATTTATTCCGGGACCTACGAAGTTGCTATTCGCACTATGCTCTTGCATTCAAACTAAGGATATAAGCACCGAGTTCACTTTGACGATTGTCGCACTTTACCGGCAATGTATTTCTGAAAACGTAATCGTTTCGTTAAATATTCCATCTTCTTTTCGCTAGGAATACGCACACATAGAAATTGCACTTTTCAAATAGAAAAAAGACCTTTTTTCTAAATAGGCACTGGTGTGTTCCAAATTACATACACGTTTTGTAAGAAATATGTTGTTAGTCTAATATTCAGCTCGTTTATTCTACATCATAATATTTTGGCTTTTATGAACTCAATCAACCTAAGTAATTTAAGCTTACGGATGCAGAAGGGCACTTTTGCAATTATTACGAACACATGCATATTTAGCCTTCTTCCACATTGCACAGTGCGTGAGCTCCCAGCATTTGCTTCCATCGAGGCACATGGCTAGAAGTCTTCCACCAACAGTTTGCTTAAAAAGCACAGATATCATACGTTCTTTGTAGAACACACTATACTCTTTAAAGTAGTGCTTCAATATCACGCGTGGCATGAGAAGCATGCTTACATGCACATTCTAACTGAAATATAAAATGCACACCACCAAGAAAGAAAAAAATGAAGGACAGCACAGATAGGTGTTCTTTCATTTGCTGCCCTGAATTTTTTTTGTTTCTTGATGGTACGCGTGTTCTGTATTTTAGTAAGCATGTACCAAATAACCCGAAACAAGTTTGTTTACGTTGAGACCTATTCTGTAACTGTGTTGCCACGATACATTTTCTCTGAGAATTCAGTTATCACGTATGATAGTTGTTTTTTTTAATCATGAAGGCCATCGGTGCATTCGTACATTATTTTCTGCTGGTGTACTTTGCCCTGGACTCCTGCGGACAATTCACAAGGGTAATCTTTTTTTGTTGATAAGTAATTTTAACTTTCGATTCGAGGTTACGTATCTGTTAGCAGCTCGCCATATACACGGCTTTTGATTGCAGTTATGTCGAGCATTCCTGACAATTGTTTCTCAGTAGTTCAAACGAAGCCAGCTTATTCTAACCAGTTTGCAAAGTTGCTAGATTGATGAACAGCTCTATATCTGTAGTAGGGACCCGGAAATACTAACATGGGCGTTCAAAAGTAGCAAAAGTTGAATTGGCTTCTCATGTGTTCGTTCATGGCTGTTTGAACAATGCTTTTGTCCCACTTCTAAAAGCTGTCCAAAACATCTGCCATGTGCAGTGTTTTGAGAAGGTATCTGTGTGAATGTGTTAGAACAATTAAAAAATAGCAAGTTACAGACGTCGGACCGAGTGGCGATGTGAGAGACAAAGGGGATCTTGCACTAACTTTTGTAAAGCTTGGACAAGCAGAGAGAGTGGGCCACTTATCTAGCTTGAATTGGATAGGTTTCAACATTCAGACCTGTGCATTTTAAAACACTCGCTGTACTACACATTAAAGGGCTAGGCTTTCGGTCTCTTAAATTTTTGTTTCTGTTTTTTCTGTCTGCTTTCCTGTATTTTTGTCCTCGGCCTTGTTTTTGAACCGCGGAAAATTCGTTTTTTTTATAATTTACTAAAACGCGCGCAGAATATAGAGTTTTATGAAAACAGAGGCTGTAGTTGTAGACACTTTGTATAAAGCCCTTCATGCTATAACGCTTAGAGTCGACGAAGCAAGTATCTATATACTGTCATCAGCATGAGATTTACGAAAATATTAATTCTGAAACAGTTTAATTTTTGCGCCTCAGTTTCGTTCAGTAGATGATAACGAATCATGGCCTTTATTACTGAAGTAAGCACCGTTCTTCTACTTGTAGTTACCAAACATCTCGAACGCTCTAGATGCTACTGTGTTTGATAAACATTGCTGCTACTTTTACGCGTTAAAAGTAATGGTAATCTTTCTTTATTGAAATGATTTCTAATGCACTTTATTGAATAGCTCTGCTAATTATATATGTTTTCGAAAACAATTTTTTACTAAATAAATTTGTTTATAATATGCTCGATTGTAATGGGCAATGTATTGGGTTCTAAATTGCATTATTTGCTGAACCGTAGCATTTTTTATCCAGTAATCGTCGCAACGTTCTGGTGCCGAAGAAGTTGCACAGATTGCGCGGTTGAGCCAATGTGACTGACTGTGCGCAGCGTTGTTCCACTGACACTTCCACCAGTTATTATGGAGCGGGCCATGACGTTTGTGAGAGTCGCTAATTTTTTTATAGGATATTGGAGGTATCAAAATTATGACTAAAGTACACAAAGTATATGAGAGGTCAGACACATTATAAAGATTGCACTAATGCTCACTCCTAAATGTTTCGTTGTTATGGTGCCCCCTTAAGTCCCCTGGGGCCTTATCGTTGTGTCGCTCTTACGAAGGTCCTTTGCTCCATCAGTGTTATGAAAGTGCCAATACGCCGCAGATGCTTTTTGGCTAGGACAACTATAGTGTGCGCACTGGGCAGGGAGAGGGGGTCAAGAGGGGCGCAAAGCCTGCTTCTTATAATGACACTAGAGGAAGGGGGCACTGTGACGAACCTTCACCCTCCTTGAAAGGGAACTCTGCGCATGCTTAGGCTAAAGACGACCTTAGAAAAACTATGGTGCGCTACCACTTCATGCACTGGAAGAAGTGAGTGAGCTATACTCGGGGACAACTTTCTGTGACAATGAAGGGAAAGCTCTGTGGGCAGACCTACTGTGCTTGTACTCCTCCGCGAAGTAGTCCGGCTCGGCTCACGTTTGGAATGACAGCCATGTTCAAGTAATTCCGCTGCACACAATTAGATACATCCGCTCACACAGTCATTTGTGAGTGAAATACAGTACAAGCTCCTGCGGCGTATCGTCTGATTATCTGAAGGGCGACGCGCGCTCTCCTAAAGACCAAGGCGCCATTTTGATGTGAGGTCCGTAAAAAGTGTGACGTTTTCAGGCGCACAAAATCGCGCGAAACGACTCTTGAAAGCAACACAAAAGATGCCTCCTTCGTGCATGCAGCCTCTCTTTATAAACAGCATCTAGTAGAAAATAATGCTGTTCTTTTTTACCATTTTAGGGCAAAAACACGAATGGACTTCTGGCACTTTATTCTACAGTGGTGGCACATGCCCACATTGGCTCAATAGCCTTTCATTCAAGCCTCAGAAAGTTGTCGCCGAGTATATCTGTTTTCTTTGCAACACACACCTAAATTTTCAAATTCCGCTTTTTAGGAAGTGAAAGACGAAGTAATTATTCTAGCTTGGACAAATAAAAGAGCCCAAGGAAAAAGCACAGTCTCAGTAATAGAACAGTCCATTCGGGCTCAGACTTCGAGACAACCACACGATGTGTACGGTTTTAAAGCTTCATTATAATGTTGATGTTCACCATTCACCAATGTCGCTATTATCTTTCCCAATTTTCTTTGGTTTCATGATGCTGCGTGTCGAATGATAGGACCGTAAGTTATTTATTCAGGAAACGAAACCATTATGATCATCCAACTCCACAATCACGCCTTTACATGTGGCGCAGTGTGAGTGCGTGAATTATCGTTTTCATTCGTTTTCTACCCCCCCCCCCCTTGACAATTTTGTCATGGTGCGAAGTCATCGATGAGAAGCGTGTCAGCTGCTTCACGCGCCGGCGCGGTGTCATCAAAGGTTGATGCTACCGTGCTCAGGTAACAGCCCTCAACGCTGAACTCCTCGCTGGTAACTTTGAATGAGCTGGTAGAGCCGTTTTTTTGTCGGGAAACATCGTTAGTCCAGTTATTCACGTGACAGAAGAATAAGCTGAAAATATGTTGGCGGGAAGTGTACTTGACGACGTCCGATCTTTTACACTAAGTAAAGCAGTTCCCTATTACCCTTTTGGTCTGCGCACTTCGTTTATAGCTTATTAGAAATTATTTACCAGTCCCTCAACTGAATGTGCCACGCAAGGTGTAACAAGACCATTCATGCTATTTAAAATCACATCAGTTCAGTATGGTCACGTATGCACCCGTGCTCCCATGTAATGGTAAAAACACGGCACCTTGATCATATATGGATGAGTTCATAAAAAAATAATATAAGCAAGACGACACCTTGTGTCATAGTTAAAGCTAGAATTCACGAACTATAAGTAACAACACAAGTGAGCTTTTTTTCGGAAAGCGTGTGCATCATAAGTAAATTGTCAGTGAGCGATCGTAGAAGATTGAATTGGCTGTAGAAAGCGGAGAGGCACATATACTGCCAAAACGTTTGTCAAATATATTCACGTTAACCACGCACGTCATGCTGTAAATATAGGTGAATCCTGTATGACTACGAACCTGTGTGATGTCTGGCGCCTGAAGCCCAGGAAGGCGAAGAAGGCTGTGACATTTTATAAAATTGATAGAGCTGAAAATGTAAGTGGTACTAGAATATCGTACCTTGTCATGCTCACGGTACATTAAGTAATTATTTCTTGCGAGCTTCAGTAGCTGCTTCGTAAGGCGCAACCAGTTGTGAGAGTGCTTTCATATACTTGATAACGTTTATTTTTTTTCCTTACAAAATCTCAAAAGAATACAATGCCTATTCATACAAGGCACGACTCATTCGTTTGCCTTCTGCTCGCTTGTATTATATTGGTGAAATCATACATAAATTTATGCTAGATGAAATAGTTGACTGCATATAAACTACAATAAATGATGTTGTGGTAATAGTGATTGCATTATATGGAGGTATGGCTTAGTTTGTATACGTCGCTAACGCCCCGAGGTCGCTCCATGGGTATAGGATGCCGCAGCGAAACGCTGCGAATATTTCGACGGCAGTTTCATATAAAATGTGCCATGGTGAACATGGCGGCACTCACAACTCATCACAATGTAATACTGTGGTAATTATCGGACAACAACTCTAAAGTCGGTGATGGCGAATGATGTTTCTGTATTGGTCACGAGCAAACGTACTGTTGGTTGTTGATGATAGGCCCAGTAAGCGAACGAAAAACCGAGTAAGTGAACGAGAATACACCCAGAAAAGCTATAAAGTGAACGAGAATACGCCCATGCATGTATTTTTGTTCACTTTTTAGGAATTTCAACGAACTAATAAAATACGTTGAAATGCGTATTCTCGTTCATTTCGTCGCTTTTCTCTGTTATAAAGCAATTTTCGACCACTGGTCACCACTCGTGTGTTCAGGAAAATACTTCAAGTAGCCGCACATCCCATCCTATCCCATCCCATGTGGAAACATTTCTACTATGGCAGTGTATATTAAATAACAAGGAACATGTCTCCGAAGTAGTTTGATCAAAAGCAACGGCCATTACAAAACTGTAAGCATCGTTTCTTACGTTAGAGGTTTTGCATAATGAAAAAAGTTTAACTTGTTTATAAGATATGATCCAATCTTGTGGGAGATCCTCTATCATTTACAGATAATTATTTACCAGCGCAGACAGGAAGAAAATACATGTATATACATAGGTTTTTCGGGCTTGTGATCTGAATTCATGAGGCATATTGAATTATAGGACGTATAGTATTACTGTCATACGTGGCGCTCATAGGGTGCACTTAAAAAGCAAGTGAAGAGCTAGAGCCCTTTTTATGTAACTCCCAGCCTTTTCGTAAAACGAAAGACCATCTAAAGCATTCTTCAATTACTACAGCAAATGACATCGCGTTGAGAGTCAATTGCTGGGAGCAGTGAAGGCAGCCATAATTATTTATTTTTTATTTATTTATTTATTTTTGAAACCCTCCGAGTACATTTGTACTATATAGAGGAGTGGGTGGCAATACAGTTGAACAACAAAATAACTACATGATTATGTAAACATGTAACATAAAGATAAATAAATGAAGTTTTATGGGGGTTTTGGGACGTTAAACCCCACATATCAATCAATTAATGAAGTTTTACATGCAAAGAGTACACTTTATTAGAAGACAACTGAACTAGAACCATAAGAATACACTAAACAGTCAATAACGCTTACGCAGATTAGAACAGTTCACGATATTAGTGCCAGTTTTATGTACCCTGTAAAGCTTTATGTTAGTAAACGGTGTTATGAAATGCCTGAAATGAAAGAAATCAGGCTACCACTTACTATTTCTATTTCACGTGAAATGTGTTTATTTCCTTCATTTTGCATTTGCGTATAAGTCTTCAGGAACAACAAATCATATGCAAGGTCTTTAACAAATGTATTTATTAAAAGGATTTTTTTTACTGAATCACGGTAACAGCACACATGCTGGCGCGTCATCTTGTGAGTGACCATGCCCAGTGGGTGAGTACATTTTCATATCCAAAACTGTAGGACACATGACGTTTATTCTTTCTGAATGGGTTGCAGCCGAATCATTTTGTTTTGGAATTGCAATGCGTCATATCTGCACGTGAGACGCAAATTTTTTTTATGGCAAAGGCATGGTGGGAGTACGTATACATGTACTTTCCTATGTCAAGGCGGTAGCGCAAATATGTCAAGCCGTGATGCATGAGGAGTGTCTATGAATAAGCATTTTGCACAACATTGGTATATGTCACGCACGCTATCTATGCTTGTCAAAAGCGCTTAGCTATGAAATGCCTTGCTGTGTCGCTCACTGTGCTATAGCAGAACGCTTTAAAAAATTCATATTTTAATTGAACAGGTTCTATAATGGTGCCTTTTTTGGCGTTCCTAATACTTTTTACGTCAACTGCGCAGGTACCACTATCTGGCGCCACCCAATCAAATTCGTATAACACATCCGTGGTATTTTCTCATCTAACTTGCTGCCGATGAACGTGGCACCTTAGTTTATGTATCACATTGTGAAGTGATAGCTTTTATTAAAATTTGGTGCAAGACAACAGTGCGTGGGTGTTTTACCATTCCACTGGTGGTTTTCAAACATTGGTTATGCAGTGGTACTAACAACTGGAGTAGCTTGGTCTAAGGTGTTTTCAATAGCTTAGCGCTTGTGTCTTACGCGCCTTTCGCGTACCTTGTTATAAGTGTTTTCGCGCTAAGAGAAACTGGCCTGAATTCACTCATCACAAAGTGGCAATTTTCACTTGTTACATGTGCCACAGCAAGCCTGGCCAAGATTCCAATATGTAGCTGAGAACCTGGGAATTTTACAGACTCTTAGAAGATACTTCCCCTATCGAGCTCCACAATACCCGTATGAAAATGTTATTTTCTGCACTAGAGCAAATTTCTTATTGGCACCGTTGTTTAGCCTTGGTACACATGGTAGACAATCACAACAGTGCTTTCTTCCAGCCATTATTACGACCGAATTGAGGCTCAAATAATCAGCAACATTAATAATAGAAACGGTTGATGTACCTGATAATATTGACCTCAAATTTTTAAACTCGAAAGTCCTGTATCCTATTTGCTTGATGTCGCGCTTGCGCCTATTCTTATGGTGCTCGAGCAATCTCTTCTTACTTCTTTCTGCTTTGGCGAGCAGTTTCAAGCGGTGGTGCCTTGGCAGTCATTCGCACCTTCGATACCGCCAAAGCGTCATCGCAATCGGCTGATCTTTGACGGTTCATCGCCAGCTTGTGCACGTCGCGGCATCAAACTTGGCTGGTCGCATTCGTCACCATTTCATTCGTAGTTCTTGGCAATTGCTTTGTTGCAGCCTCACCTGCCGGCACGTTTTCTTCACCGGCTTCGTTTTGCCTGTTAGCTCACTGTCACGCACTAAATTCTTGCGCACGGTCACAATGGAGCTTCCTGGTCTCTTAACACTGTGATCCTCTTACCCGCAATTTTCCCAAGCAGTGTTGACATTCCTGTCATTTTCACCTGTTTGGCACGGTGTCGGGACATCACCCTCTTAAGAAGTTACTTCTTGCTTTTGAGCTTCACAAATCGTTGCTGATGCTGCCATCATTATCTTTTGCTGGTGCATGTCCACAGACTACTTAGAGGGTTTTACTCATTTTGTTACGACATGCGTCAGCCTTGTGTGAATCTGATCACATTTAAAACATTTCCTTCCACTGGGATGCGTAAATTTGGCTCGACAATTGTTCGCGCAATTATCCACTCGTTTATACAGAAAGCATCACGTAACACTCTTCAAGGCACGCTTATTTTACTTTTTAGGTGCCGATTTCTTCGAATTGTGAGACACTCCTTCTTACTCTTGGCCAAATGTGTGTCACCTTCTGCTTTCAAGAATTCATCGACAGATTGAAGAATCTCTTTAAGTGACGTAGCCGTCCTCTTTTTCTAGTACAGCGACAGGCTCGTGTGGCAACTGATGCGAAATTGTTCTTGATAAGCACCTCTCTAAGCTCACCTTATGTGCTGTCCCGGAAAGCTCAACACATCTGTCAAAGTAGTGGCCAAGTCGGGCAGCGTGCTGCGCAGCCGTCTCATCATCAGCTGACTTTCCGGTCCTAAATCTGCCTTGGAAGCCTTCTACAGTGAATCTGGATTACTTTAGTAAAGCAGCTTTCACTTTGTATTGTTAGCTGTATCGGTTGGCGTCAGGTGCTTCGCTACTCGAGCAAATACTCAAGCAGTTGTCCATTCATGCTGTGGCCAATTCTGGCTTGTGGCAGTTGTCTCAAATCTGTGAAGGTACGCAACAATGTCCTCCTTCCTCTCGTCAAATGCTACGAGCAGTTTGCATGGATTGAAATGGAAGCTATTAACTTCCCTTTTGCTGCTCTCCACTCTAGCTTGAACGAGAGTATTACTTCGTCGCTGCAAACGGAGCCACTCGAGTTCCATCTCATGCTGCCACTGCCTTTCTCTCTCAACCATCTCCATTTATATCTGCCTCTCTTGTGCTTCTCTTTCTTATTTTTCCATCTCAGCCGCGAACGCCTCTATTTGTCTGATGTCAGCTTTCTTTTCTTTATTGGCTCTCTCTCTATCTTCTTTCTGCTTCTGGCTGACCCACTTACTAGTTTGGCCCCCTGAAAGACCCATATTCTCACCAGGAGCTACTCACTTCTCCAGATTTATGGCCTCTAAAATAGATCCTTGTCGCGTGCACAAAAAATCTGCCCTACTCGGTCTATCGAAACACATTATGCACACTTGTTAGCGAGATGCCGTGCGACACAGAAAGATCGTTCCCATAGCGCTATGAATGACTGAGTACACTTTGAACACACTGAGCATCAAAAGGGTCCTGTCGCGGATGCCAAAATAACTGTCACTGGCCCAGGTACTTAGGGAGGCAATGACTGGGCTAATTCCAAGGACTGACGTACCTGCCTCCCGAACAGCACCAAGAAAGCACGGATAATTCAGATACGGTCCTTTTTGGCGAGTTAGCGAACGCCGACTGTGGTAAAAAGAAGGAGCAAAAGGCGACAGTTGATGACAAAGCAAAAAATTATCTGAAATACGGCCGAACAA